TTGCACCAGAAGCTTTAAGTGAAGGACAGTATACGATGAAATCAGATATTTATTCATTTGGAATGATTATGTGGGAAATTTTATATGGAAACCTGTATTTTACGATCGAGAACCTGGTGAACAACTTAAAATGGATATATGTAATGATTTAAGACCAACTGTTGTTGAGGGCTTACCACAATGTTACGTAAATCTAATGAAGAAATATTGGGAAAAAGAACCAGAAAAACGTCCATCAGCATCAGAAATTTATAACTGTTTTTCCAAGTGGAAAAAAATGAAACGATTTTATTAGAATTAGATAAATCAGAAAGCATATTGAAAAATATTAGAAGTATACCTATACAAAATACGCAAGCATGTTCGGTAGACAATTACGAAAGCATAATTATTAAGTCAATTACTCACGGTAACTATTGTAAATTTTATTGTTTTATTTTGGTAAATAAATTTTTTAAAGTAATTATAATTATTTATTTTACAGTAGGTAGTAACATAGAAAGTTTAATTCTCCCCGATGGTAGTGATAAGATTTAATTTTACCATCATTCGCAACATTATATATAGAATAGAATTTCAACATTTATTTAGTTGCTTTAAGCATGACACCTTAATAAAATTTTGTTCTATTTGCGTTTTTGAATTATCCATTTGGATATGAAACTGATAGCATAGTCTTAAATTTTTTTTTTTTTTCTTGAGTAGCAATTTTAATTAAGGTAATTTTGACCAGCATAATTCGTCCAAAAATCCTCGAAACTACACGAACCAAGTGTCACATAAAAATCGTTACGGTTTAAACTCAATAAAGCCTAATTAATTTTATAGTTCCGATGTTTCTTATGTACAATTGATTTGTTTATTTTGATTACTAAAACGACAATTATTTTCTTTAATTAAACGGCAACAACTGTAATGTTTTTTTATATTTATTATAAAACGCACCTATGGTGGTTTGTCATCTATCATATAGGCTGAGTGCTGCAAAAAGGGAAAAAAACGAGCAATTTTATAGACTTATTAATGCCATCACCTACATAACTCTAATTGGCCTTTAACCCTTCCGGAAACTCTATTATCCTAACTGTTGGTTACAAAAGCACCATAATCGAGTGGGTGTCACCAACTAGTTTTAATCACATAGTCGAAGTCATAATATTTTAACACAATAGCATTATGGTATATAGACACAATTATTATTGTATTTTGACATAGCAGCATTACAGTTATGGCACTACGGTATTATGTTACAGAATTCTACCACCAACTATACTTTTGACTAGGGAATGGAACTGCCTAAAATTTTTAATCATTTAACTGTTTAATTTGGCTGGCATCAAAATAATTCTGGTCCATGACCAACATAATTCTGCCCGAAACTATGGAGTAATTTTTAAACAGTTAAATTGTTTCAATCCCTACTTTTAATGATAGCTTTTCACTTTAAAGAATCAAAGAAAAAAAAATATTTACTAAATCAATTATGATAATATTTTAAAATATTATGAATTAATCAACAATAACATGATTTTTGAAACTTTTTTGGGTGCCCGGTCTGCATTACGTGTAAATTTCAGAAATCAATTTTCATGTTAATTTTCATCATATCATACATAAAGTACAAGATTTACAAAAGTTCTGTCAGCATTATTGCATCTGAATTGTAATTTTTTCTATTATTATAATAAAATGGTGTTGGATTATAATCATAACATGTACTAGCGGAATGATCTTGTATTGCCTGTTGATTTAAGTGCTTCTTTGCTAAGCTGCAGATAATAATAGTCGATTAAGCCGATTAAACTTAATTAAAATTATTTATTCGACTAAACTTGTATGATTACAAACATTATTAGCTCCACATTAGCCACATTTACAAAGCACAACCAATAACCAATCGTTGATATCCAACCAAATGCGAAGAATCGGGTATATATTTTACAGTATAAGTCACATAAATTTCTTTAATTACATGGCATCGTTTTAAATGGTTTCAACTTAGTAACCAGGTTACATATTTAGGAATCATATCCAACCGTAGCATCCAACCAAATGCAAGATTTTGTGAACACATGTATAGATGGTGAAATTCATTTAATTTCAACAATAAACCATACACTATGTAATTTCATCACTTCGTTTCTTGGTATAATTTCAATAATAAATTCAACATTTTAATATTTTTATTTATTACACGACTGATATTCTCACAGTTGATATTTTCACTGCGAATTTTACAACTGTTTCCATTATTTTTTTTCTGGGAAAATATTGACCGAATGATTAATTTGCAATTCGATAAGTTTTGATTTCGGCAGTGATAAACTTTTGAGTGTAATTAATATAGCGATAACTATATATATCGATATTTTTTGCAATTGTATTTTGAACAATACTGCAATGCCAACACATCCAAAATTAAAGTTTTCACTTGAACGTATGTTAAGTATGCTTGGTGTGTTGTACTTGCCAACCAACAGATCTTGATCTTGACAAAATATATGAAAAGATTTCGAGCCTTCATAATAAATACATTACACGAGCAGGCGCTAATGGAAAAAAGTTCAATATGAACAAGAATTGATAACGTAAGTTATTATTCCAAACAACCAAGATTTTATTAATCTTTGTCGAAACTGTGTTAAGAAGTATAATCAACGAAATTAGGATAATATTTTGTTAAAAAGTTTTAATATATAATGATTATTACAATGGATAAGTCAAAGAGAAAACTAGAAAGAATTAGATGAGAACATTGAAACAACGGATTTGACGACTAAAGATCCTTTAGCTTAATTATCTAGGATAAATATTATAAAGACGTCTGTCGTGTCTGAAATAATCGCAGTTAAATGAGTTAAATATTAAATACACAAATCTATCGGGTTTTCAATTATATTTTGTATCGGATACAATCTTTAACAAATTATACTTATATATTATTATTTATTATTTCCGATTATTTATTTTGGCTGTCTTGCATAATAATATATAGTGTAAATAAGTAAAATCGCAACCTGATCAACGGATCGTTGAGTTTAAATTTGCTTTCCAGATTACATTTACGAACCGCAATAAGTAATAATTATTCGTCATAAGCAAGAATTAGTAATATTATATATGTGTAAGTACTGAGGTAAAAAAATAAGTAATTATTACTTACTTTATTGCCTTGCCCATCTCTAGATACAAATATAATTGAAAGCCTGACGACAGGTTCCCCTTACGACACTCAAATAATACGGTAGTCGTCCTCCTCTACAGTCACCTCCTACATATATACTTGTTGGCAAAACCTAGACAAATCCCAAACCCTCAAAAAACTAATTGTTTTTATAAAAAATTAAATCTATAAAATAATTTTCATATTTTGTAAATATATTATATATAACTATAAAAACATATATTTTTTGTTTAAATAAAGATTATTAATAAAATTTTTGAGATATTAGTTTGGGATGAAGTTTGAAATTTGGAATAAACAAACCCAAACTATAATAGTTTAGAATTTGAATAACAAGTATACTTAATATAATCATACTTTCATTATAAACATCATTTTTTTTTGAAAAATTATTGATAATATATTTATTAAAAAAAACTTTATATAATCACATTATTATTAAAATTTTATAAGCAAATCTTTTTTATATAAAAAACAGCGTGATTATAGAGGAGGATGACTGTATTATAAATTAAACGCAAAACAATTATTGTATTTGATTTAACTAGCATAGCGGGTTTTCATTCTGATTGGTTAATTTATGTAGATCATCATAAGAAAGTCTTGTTAAAGTAACGATTTTCCATCACAAGATTGAATTCCGAGCGAATTCCGAGAGGGTAAGACAAACAAAATTAGAAACTTCACATCTTACTTTATAAACTGCCAAAGTAATTCGGTAATCCGTAAAGTAATTCAGAAGTTAGATGAGAGGTATGTCTGAACATTTCAATTTAGCCAATAAGTCATAAATATAATATACAAGTCTGTTAAGTTTAGTAATTTGTTTCTGAAAGACTTATTTTCGCCAATTTATTTTATTATGTATAAGCCCCAGGCACGTAACACCAGCAAAATAGTTTAGCGAAATAGTTTAGTAACAAGCCTAGCAACACGAAGTAGTAAAATAATTTAGTAACAAGCCTAGCAACACGAAGTAATAAAGTAAATTTCGAGATTAGAATGTAATGCCACGTTGACTATTATTAAGGTTATTAAGGTTATTAGGGTCAAATAGTTTGATGTCAATAAAACTAGTATTTTGATTAAGATTAATTTAGAAGTTTTTGATTTGTTTTTTGTACTTCTGTATCTTTTAATTTATTATTTCTATTTTATTTTTTTTAATTCGTGCATGTATTTAATAAGCTCTTGGTTTACGGAATCTTGTGCTGGCTTATGGTCTTAGATTCTTATTATGAGATGTCGTATAATGTTTTATTGGACCAAATTAGTCTTATAAAATATTTTGTTACAATTTAGCTTCATACAAAAAAATATTATTAACATTAAACGATTTTTGATTATCGATTAACCAATTATATTTTGCAAATGTCACGAAATGATCAGCAAAAATCAGCCAATCACTAAATTTTAATATTAAAAACTAATTTCACATCAAATAATTTCATGCCTTTTAGCATTTTTGTAAACCATATTCTCCTTTTCACTTACAGAAAATACCATTCCCGGTATTAGCATTACGTGAAATATTAACAAAATATGAACTATTACTGTTTGTACTTCATTTAATTAAAAGAATAAGAATTCAAATCCTTCCAAATTCTTGAATTAAGTGAACGATCAGCTGGATTTGCGTTACATAGATGCAATTTCTATTTAAGTGCACGTGTAACGTCATTTCAGTATCACGTTTATTTAATCGGGATTACCAATTACGTATCATATTATTTATATTTTTGTTTATTCCTAATTTATACATAACGATAAATAAATTCAATTGTGTAAATTCAAATAAAAGTCATAATCTCTGACAATGTCATCTAAAACCAGAGATATTAATACACATTATCGTGATAAGTGTTCGTTCAAAAATTGTTCTATAGGAAATTTATTTCGTAAATTAGCCTTTTTTCCAAATAATTCAAATTTAAAGAATAACCCACCAACAAATTTGACCAGTTTCGATAATGTTCATGAATCAAATTTAAATAATAACCCACCAACAAAATCGACAAGTACCATTAATGGTTATGAAAATAATTGTACTAGATGTGGCCGTAAGAAAATTCATGGTGAATGGTGTGAACCATGTGAATATATGTTTTTCCAATCAAACTTCCACAAATGGACTAGCGGAAACAAAATTATTGATACCTTTATAAGAGAAACTCAACTTTCAGCCACCACAAAGTTCAATTTCTTAGAGTGGATTCCTTACTCTAGTTTAACTAACATTGAATTCATTGGTAGAGGCGGATTTGGTGAAGTGTTCTCTGCAATATGGATTGATGGCCCGAGAACTAAATGGAATGAAGAAAAAAATGATTGGGAAAGATATTCAAATGTTGATGTTGCTCTAAAGAGTCTTAAAAACATAAAAGAGGAAGATATTACTAGTGATCTTTTTAAAGAGGTAAATATCTATATTAGTAACTTCTTATTAAATTATGTTGACTTCTATTCAAATTTACAATATATATATGTATTTTTTTCTGATTTACGTACATAGCTTAAATCTCATTTAAAATCTAACGACCAGATAGTAGGTCGTTTTAACGTCTTGCGCACATATGGCATTACCTTTGATCCTGAATTAAAGGTTTATATGATGGTCATGACATTAGCAGACTATGGTGATTTATCTGCATATTTGCATCAAAATTTTTCTACGCTCACTTATATAAAGAAGCTTGAGCTTCTCTATGACATAGCTACTGGTCTTACTCAGATCCATAAATCTGGACTTGTTCATCGTGATTTACACAGTGGTAATATATTGTGCCAGGGGATAAAGGATAATAACCTGGGTCGTGGTGAAGAATATCGATTCGTTATTGGTGATTTAGGCCAGGCGACTCAACCAATAAAAAAAGATAATGAAGTATTCGGTATATTACCATATGTTGCACCAGAGGTCTTAATTAAGATGCAATATACTCAAGCTGCTGATGTATACAGCTTCGGAATTCTTATGTGGGAGATCTTAACTGGTTTAAAAGCTTTTGGTGAAGTTAGGCTCAACACATCTTTAGCATTAAAAATTTGTTCTGGAAATAGACCTGATATTCCATTTAATACTCCAAAATTATATTCAGACTTAATGCAAAGATGTTGGAGTAATAATATTGAAGAAAGGCCAAGTGCACATGAGTTATATATGACGATTGGGATATGGTTGAATCAATGTTTATTCGTTCCAAATTCTGAAATCGCTAAAGAATTTAAAAATGGTGATGAACTCAGACCAAAAATACAGAAACCACAAGTATTACATCCGGATAATGTCCTATACAGTACTGTTTATGATATTATAGGTATTCTAATTATTTACTAATTATGTTACTACCAAAAATCTGTTAGCAAATTAAAAATTTTAAAATGAAGTATACTAATACGTTTTATTTCAATTTTATAAATATGACTATTAAAAGATCCAACAGATCAGAAAACTTCTGATTTATTTAACATTGAAGATTCAACAGACTTTGAAATCCCTGAAGATTTGTGAACTTAGACTATATTTAAAGAAAATAATTCAAATATTATAGTAATGGTATTATTTAAAATAAACTAATACACAATTTACAAATAAAAATTATAAAAATAATATTAACTATAACTTCATGCAGAAATCCTGTTTTTTAAATATCGTTACAATATTATCAATATTTTAATAATCTCTTTACAAAATTTAAGAATTCTACTATTATCAAATATGCCTCTTTTAACTATATTATTATAATATATATACAATATTTTATAATCTTATTGCAATATCGATATTATATTAAAATTTCAAAATTATATCTAAATAATATTGTGCAATATCAATATTATATATTTTTAATTTTTTAAAATCTCAATTATATCTAAACAATATCAAAATTATATGATTTTTTCCTTTTCCCTTTAAGTTTCTCGTAATAACATTTAAAAAAAATTCAAAACTTCTGCAAGTTTTAAATAAAATCTTACTAATTTTACTATATAGTTTAACATTAGTCAAGGATAATTCTTTAAGGGATGGAGTTTATTATTAGTGTGCTATTAAATGATTCTTGATGAAAGTTCCCTATTCTTAATCTAGTTGGTCATTTGTTTATTACATAAATTTTGCTCAATGAATGTCTAAGGACTCTCACTAGGTGCTATAAGAAATAAGTATACTATCTAAATCACCTGTCCTGTAAGTTATCATTACAGATGCGTTCTTTGTATAGTGTGAAATAATCGCGCAGCTAGACAATATTAAATAACAATGATGTAAGTATAATTAATACTTTTGCTTTTATATACGTTTGAATATGTTGGTAATGTTTCGTATTTAATATTTCGTAATATTTCTTTCGATTTATTTAACTCTAATAAAATTTTTTCATCGCTCTGCCATTCTGAAAAGATTTCACAGATTCTTTTTGCAGATGGGCGGTTTACTGGATCTCTCTCCCAACATTTCTTCATCAAATTTATATAACATAGTGGTGTGTTTTCAATAATCGTTGATCGTAAATCATTATGACATATTTTTCCATTGACGTTGTATTTCAAATTCTTGATCATAAGATATCGATTTTCCATATAAAATTTCCCACATAATTATTCCGAATGAATAAACGTCTGATGCTGTTGTATATTGTTCTCCATCCAAAATTTCTGGAGCTATATATGGTAAAATTCCATAAACTTGATTTTTTTCTACTTTTGGCGCTATATTTATTGATATTGTTAGTCCCAAGTCGGTAATGTATGCACTATGTAAATTATCTTGCAAAATATTGCCACTGTGTAAATCTCGATGAATGAACTCTTGATAATGAATTAATTGTAGATCAGAAGCAATACAGTGCAATAAAGTTATCTTATCCTTCCATTTCATTTGTACTATAGAGTGAAGATTTTGACGTAAAGAACCCATTGCTGCATATTTTAAGACAAGAATGTAGTCTTCAGAATAATCTTCTTTTGATATTCCATAACATTTTAAAAATGATGGATATTTGGAACTTATATCACAATACGCCTTTAACTTTAAAATAAAATACATTATTATCTAAATATATATAAATTACTAAAATGAAATAAAAAATTACCTCTTTTATAAATCCTTCATTATGAGATTTTGATCCATGAAGTAATTTAAGTGCAATATGTCTTCTTACATTTTTGTTTTTTGTCTAACCATGTAGCGTAAAAAACAGTTGCAAATCCACCTTGTCCTATTTTTTTAATAACATTAAATTCTTTATAAGGAATCCATAGCAATGGATATTTTTTTCCTTCCAATAGTTTTTTAATGCCATCATCAATATTAAAATTTTCATTTATTCGCTCGTACAAGGCTTAGAGATCGTCGAGAGAAGGTTCTAGTGATAGTGACGATTAGAGCAAGTGGAAGAAGGTTCAAGAAAGAATTAAGGTAGAGAGAAACTTGAAAACGTAGTAGAAGGGATTTACAGGATGGACAAAGGGAATAAGGAATATAGTAAGAGTAGCGATAAGGAAAAGCAAAGCCGCCCTGTTTTAATTGTATAAAAAAGGGTTACTATCTCCTTGCATGTAGGTAACTGGCGGTTAATAAACATCAATTCCTCTCATTAAAAGTATATAGAAGTATAAACTCACCCTATATCTGTTGTTTTATGTAAATTGTAACTTATAATTCAAATCACTATTGTCACGCCTCTGGTGAATTGCCTCAACAAATAAATTTTATACTTGTATCGGATTGTAAAAGTATAACCATAACATTATCATGAATTATTCGCAAGTAGTTCTATCCATGCAAAAAGATCTAAATGTTTTAAAGATATATTTCATGAAATGAAACATGATACAAAATGTGAAATTAATGAAATTCGGCATTCGTGAAAAAGGAAAATCCGGTATTGGTGAAAATGATAAGAAACTTTCCATTCCAGATGATGAAGAAAGCTGGACTTCTCTTGATGACACTCTTTCATTAGCCTCTACAACTTCTTCCAATGAAACTGTATTCACTTCTTCCTCTAAACCTTCCTCCTTTAAATCCCGTGATTTCTATTATGAATTAGTAATCTCGGATTTTCCCTACCTTTCACTGATAAAATTTCTTCTAATAAATTTTCTTCTTTCCCCTTCTCTGATGAAATTTATTCCCTATATGGTATTGCTGATAAATACCAAATAATTGACCTAAAATCTCATTTCAAAAAACTTATTCTCTGTAATCTTAAATTGGAAACTTGTGCTGAAATGTTATTCAAATACGTTTGGAAATGGCCTGAATTAAAACATGTAGTTATGCCATTTGTTGTAAAATATTTTGCAAAAATTAAGTGTACGCAAGGTTATTTAAATATAGTAGAAAAATGTAAATGTGGTAAAGGTGAGAATGAGTTTCCAACGTTTTTTGAATCAAATTGAGATTTTAATGGCAACATTTTCATGTTCCTGTTAAAAAAAAAAAGAGAAAAAAAAAAGAAACTTAAAGAACTTCTTTTTTTTTTTGTTATTAAATCATGTTAGAATAATAAGAAAATTATATATTTATAATATGTAAGAAGGGGATAAAAGTTGGAAGTAATACTTTTTTCAGTTTGATTAGCATTCTATTAAGATATTTTTATTCGTTTATCAATTTCTTCCCTTTTTATCATTTCTCACATCTAATCAAACAACACAATTCGTATATATAGTTATTTTAAAAGTACTTGTTACATAAAAAATAATAAAAAATAATGAAAAAAAATAAAAAAAGATTATGATAATTATTATATATGCTAATTTTTCATTGTAGTATTTTTCTTCAACGATATCACTGATTACTTATTAATATTAAGAAATAATCAAATGCTTTATTTTTAATAGGGTACAAACTTGGTTAATTGCATATACTATAAATGCTGCTACGTAAGTGTTATTTTTTTAATTTATGTAAGTTATATAGAACGAAATGATAATTTACTAGCGCTAATGCTAAAAAGTTTCGAACACCACGTGACAAATATATCGAGCACTAAATTCATTTAACTTAACAAAAAAATACAGACAAAAATTTAGACTAACAAAATATTAACGATAAGTAATAAATTAATCATTTTATTTTATTTCGAATAACTCAATAGACGTTATATTTATTACAGCCAGAAAGTATTATGATTACAGCTTTTCTAAATACATATTTGGAATATTTCATTGCCTTTTAAAATGATTCTAATCCCCAATTTATGCAATGGCACAAAGTTTTTATTAATACTATTGAGCCATTTGTTACTATTTGGATTCATTATGTTTTATTCAATAATTTCTTGTTTGTTGTGTCCCGAATTCAAATAAATAATCAATCATAATCTTCCGGAAGAGCATTAAAAATAAAATCTACAAGGTTTTCTGGTGCAATGGCATTTTCTGGATTAGTTTTTTCGAATTTAATTTATTTTCATTTTTTGTTAATGGAAATTTGTTACGGCAATTAACGTATGTTTTTAGAATAGTGGTTTATTGGATTTCATGCCTTTAACTATGGATTGGAACCGTCTAAACTTTTTAATCATTTAACCATTTAACCGTTTAATTTGACGTCATTAAAATAATTCCGGCCCACGACCAACATAATTCTGCCCGGGACTATGGTGCAATTTTTAAACTGTTACACTTCCCAATCCCTACTTTTAACGATCACTTTTCACTTTAAAGAATCGAAGAAAAAAAAAACAACAATTGTCATCAGAGCACAAAATCTATTGTAAAATTTCGGAGATTTCCGTTTCGTCATGACAATTTCCGCCTTGACTTTTCATCAGTTAGAAATTTTCCGAATATGATATCATATATACGTATGTATATAAATATCAATAAATATTACAATATCTTTATTAAAAAACTGCTACATCCGACTGAGTTTTCTAAGTTCAGGTTAAAATAAACACCGCCAGAGAAAAAACATCTTCCAGCATTCGGAAATTTTGTGCCCTGATTGTAGAGTTTAGGGCACAGGGGCATAGGACATGCCTATGGGCATGCCTCAAGTCCAAAGGGCATGCCCTTGTCATGTGATGTTTAAAGTTATTTTAATTGGCTAATAAGTTCAGGTAAACTAGAACCGTAGATACTAAATCAACATGTAAGATTTTTAAGAAGTCGTGAACTATGTGTTAATTACATGATTTAAAAAGGGCATGCCCATGGGCATGAGGGGCATGCCTTAGCTTAGGGGCATGCCCAATTTTTTCCCATGCCCTGAACTCTACCTGATTGTCATAATATTTTAATAAATATTATCATCATGATCTGATCATGATGAATTGAAAAAATTACATAATTTTTGTAACTTTCTGGGTGCCCGGTCTACATTAAATGTAAATTTCAGAAAATTAAATTTCATCATCACGTCATACATAAAGTACCGGATTTACAAAAGTTCTGCTAGCATTATTGCATCATTTATTTGAATGTACTATCTAAATTATAACTCATAAATTACAGAAAATTTGATCTCAGAAACTAATGTTATATGTTTAAAATCACAATTTTAATTTATCAAATCTTATACAAAGTTATGTAAAATTACATAAAATTACATAAAATTACTGCAATTTAACATCCTTGATTATAGGATTACAATACTATAGCATAGAATTATGGCATTACCATTACAATATGATTTTTATCAAATACTAAATTGTCATGATACTGTAATTCAGTAGTATCATTACCAACTAGTGATATCATACTTTTGCTATTAAAGTTCCAAGTAATAATAAAATTTTTGTTATACCAAGAACAGAGTATGAAGTATGTAGTGTATGGTTTACGGGCAAGTTAATATGCATGTGCGATTCTCAGCACTTGATTGATCCATGTGACTCTATTTATCATGCATTGTTATGTGTTGCCTATTTTTCACATGTCATTTCACACCTGTGTTTATACACGTGAATGTATATTATGTCTACCATATGTATTAAGATGAATGAAACTAAATAAAACCCAGAACATCATTAAATTAGAGATTTTATAATAAATGGGCTGCCAGATTTAACTGACACTTATTGACTATAATTTTCATCATATCCCTTGTTGAGTTAAAATACTATATATGGAATGTTATTTACTAATGCTAATACTAATCATAATTTGATCTTAACCCATTGCATTGACAATAGTCATGCAAGGGGTATTATTGTGAGGATAATCTCTAATCTGTGAATTAGCCTTGCATAACCTGAATTAGGTATTTTATGAAAAATGGGCAGAAGATAATCTTTAGTGCTTCATTTTTTCACTGCCTGATTGATATCTAGCTCTTAGTGTTTAGCATTCATCATGGAAAAAAAAAAGAAATGTCAAACTCAAATATATCAAAAAATGACTTATCAGACATTTTTTGTAGTTTAAGCATATCTACTAAAGAGAATAAAGCAGATCTTGTACAAAGGTTAAAAGAATATCAGACAAATGAATTCTATAAGAATAATGTGAATGGAATGAAGTTCACAAATGATAAGCCTGATGATGAATCAGTAATATCTGACTACTATACTGAAACCATTAAAATATTAAGTCCTAAAAAACAAACATTAAGAGAATTATTTCAAAAGAACAAGCATCTATTACATATTGTGCCATTATCACTTTCTCTCCAAGATGCAGAAGAAACAACTGATCACTCACAGCAGACAAATAAGATGATTAAAAAACAGAAATTATAAGTTAAAGAGAAAAATAATTCTAGTTCATTAATTTAGAAAATATTATTAGGATTCCAAAAATTAGAAAATGTCATGCTAAGCTTTGATAATAAATTGAATACAATGGCATATCAAGTCCATGAAACATATAATAAAGTAGAGGTTAAGGAAGCTTGGTCTAAATATAAGTTTGAGAAGCATCATGAGCAATATGAGTACAATACATTATGCCAAATTAGAAGAGAACTTGACTTAACTATAGACTCCAGAACTATGACCAATGCAGTAAGTTATATTGAGGCTGCAAAAGAGTTAGTAGAAAATAGAATATTTACCTTAAAGGTAGCTGATGGTTTTGATTGGGACAATGCCTTAGCCTTAACTGATATTCAGGATGATTGGTTAAAGAATAAAGACAATCTAATTGAGAAGACAAAGACATTAGTTGAAATAAAAAAGCACAAAAAACAAAAGTTCTATAAGCAGTTAAACTGGTAGAATATTAGTATTGAAGGTATAACTACTAAAATAAAAATCTGAATAGTCACAAGGATAGCTATTCAGATGGCTCTCAGAAGTTTTTTTATCAAAACTTCCAATCCAATAACTATATGTTATCATCTTCAAAAAAATGTTTTATCTGTAAAGATTATAGTCACTTTGCAAACACCTCCCTTTCAGATTCAAATAAAACATCAGCTCAACAAGAATATCAAACTGGATATAAATCAAAAGAATACTTAGTTTACAGAAATCAATACAACAAACTACAAGACTATACTAGATATAAGTGACTACACTTAGGCCTAGCAGAAACTATAAGTAACAGGACACATTTATCTAAAAATTCATGTACAGTATTAGATAAAAAAGATACAAGCTTCAGAGCTAGTAATCAAATAGTTAAAGAAAGAAGTTTCTTTATTTTCAAAAGGTCTATTAGAGTTAACAATGCAATCAGACCCATCATAGTATCCTTTAACGAAGACTAGCTCATCTGATTAAATTCTGAAATAAAAAGGTCAATAAAAGAAGAGGTGATATTTTTAGTAGCAGTATCAGAAAACTAACCAGTATACTTACTAAAAGTAAGTCCAATTGTCTTAATCTCAGAAGTGGGCCTAAAGAAATAGTGATTGATTATAGATCTCAGACATTTAAACAAAATGTTACCCATAAAACTGTTTAAGTTTGAAAAATTTGAAACATTTTTACATATGATAAGAAAAACTTGGTGAATGATCATGTTAGACTTAAAAGACAGATATCACCATATACTAATGGAAGAGGGAACTTAAAGATTACTAGAATTCAGGATACAATCAAACTGGTACCACTACAGAGTGTTACCTTTTGAACTAAGCTAAGCAGTATGAATATTTTTCAAAGTTATGAGAGCATTAATAAGATATTGGAGATCAAAAGAGATAATTTGTAAAAATTATGTAAACAATTTCTGGGTTGCACACCCATACCAGAAAGTTTTGTTATATATAAGAGACTCAGTCATATTGGAAGATCTAAAAACTTGCAGATTTGTTATAGCAGAAAAAGATTATTTAGATTCTGCACAAAACATGAAGTACTATGGAATAGTATTAGACACAGTAACAAAAATGGTTACAGTGCCAAATACCAAAATCAATGATGTAATATGTTGTCTACAAAATATTTTAGTCAAAAAGCATCTCACTGCTTAGCATCTCTCTTCTGCTATAGGAAAGCTAATAAGCTTAAGTCATGCTTTCAAATATGCAAAAGTTTGTTTCTTAGAACTATATTCAATTATAGATGCAGAATGCAGAAGGCTCTGAAAATGGAACAGTACAGTTCAACTGTTATATCAAGCAAGAATAGATATCAAATAGATAATAGAAAATCTAAAAACAAAAAATAGAAGTCTGGCATAAAGACTATTACAAATAATTCTGGTATTTGTAGACATATCTACAACAGGATAGTCACAACCTTAAGAGAATAAAAAGCTTTTGGAAACTGAGAACATTGTCACAGGCATACAGATATTACAGTTCTTGAGTCACTTGCAACTTTATTAGACCTAGAATCCTTTATCTCAATCATTGCATATTACTATATAATAGTCTTTATAGACAACCAAGTAGCCAGAAAAACAGTAGAGTCAGATGAAAAAAGGCCATGGCAAAAAGAAATAATGTGCGAAATATAGAACTTTTGCAACTTGTACAATATTAAAATTCATGAATTTCAATGAGCTCTATTAATTCTAAACCCAGCAGATGGACTAATTAAAATATTTGATAAATTAGACTGGTCACTGAATTAAGTATTATTCAATTTACTAAACAAAAGATAGGGACCATTTACCATAGACCATATGGCAAGTATTCAAACAAGAAAAGTAAAATGCTTCAACAGCCATTTTTATAACCTAAAATCAGAAGCAATAGACTGCTTCACCCAAGACTGAAGCAACAAAATCAATTATGTTTGCCCTTCTTTAAGTTTAATTTACAGAGTTTTAGAAAATATATTACAGACACAAATTACAATAATATTAATTACTCTATTTTGGTTTTGGCCTTCTGGTGGCCTCTACTGCTTCAACAGCAAATCGATCTAATAAACCTACCTCCAGCAACCTAGAGTTTTATACCATGCCAAGAAGAAAACTTACTACCAGAACTATAAAAAAATCCACTATAGCAGTTTTAGGCTATAAAGATATCTTTTTAGACTCTTTATTTTCAAGAGCACAGCAACTTTTACTGGCAAAATCTGCATTTGAGAAATGTTTGCACAATTTATAAAGTAAATTTAAAGATTTTTGTATAGTTTATGGTTTGGTCTTTTGCCCAGTAGAACCAAATATAATTATAATCTTTTTAACATAGACAGATTTATGTTAAGATCTATAAAACCTTGATTTTACTTAATAGCTATTAGTCATTATCATCAGAGACTAGGATTGAATGATTCAATGCAAGATTTTAATGTAAAAAGCTTGATTCAGACCCTAACAAAACTTGCAGCAAATAAAAAAGAGGCAATATAGCCATGTGATCCCCTACTAATAGATGCTTTGAAATACTATATTGACCATTCACTTCCAAATATCTTATACACAATTTGGAAAAGGAACTGTGCTATGATAGCACTTGGCTTACACACTATGAGACAACCAGCTAAGTTATATAATCTGAAAGTAGGTGATTTAAAAATGCTTGATAGGACATGCTAGGTTAGAATAAACAAGTCAAAGACAGATCAGTTCACAAAAAAAAAATTTATACTAGTAAATTCTATGAATTCATCATATTGTCCAGTTAGATTAATCTATAAGTATTTGGAAATAAGAGATAATAAGAAAAATAGTGATTAGTTATTTGTTAACATATTAGATAAACATATAACAATAGGAACAGTAAGTGCAATAGTTAAGAAAATAGCCTATAATGCAAACTTAAATAGTAAGTATTTAGGTTACAGTATATATATTGGTAAAGCTACAGAAGCAATAAAGGTATAGCTGATGTTGCCTCAGATTATAAGCATTGGAGGGTGGCTATCTTAATCAGTGGCACTCTATTTTAGATCATTTTTAACCATATTACAAAGTACCTTAGTGAGAATAAAGTTTTAAGAATATATATAAAATATAGATATAATATTAAATAAAGATAGAGGCATGGCCTCACCATTAATATTTTAAAAAAAAATAAAATATAGATATATATATATATATAATAATAATAATAATAATATATATATATATATATTATATATATTTAGAGAATTGCTATTTGCACCATGAATTTTTGCTATTCACACCATGGTAACTAACATTATAAAAAACTACTTATCCTAACTCTAACTAATTCTAATCATGATCTACATATCATGGTGCAAATAGCAAAAATCTATAGTATGAATAGCAGTTCTCTACATTTATTATTATTGTGCATAGACAACTTAACCTACCTTTGATTTTCTTTTCTCTTCTATATTGTTTTTTCATAATAAAAGCTATCTGAGCAAGAATAATAACCCATTGCATTAACAATAGTCATGCAAAGGGTATTATCATAAGAATGATCTTCAATCTGTAAATTAGTCTTGTGTAACTTGAGTTAGGTATTTTATGAAAAATAGGCAGAAGATAATCTTTAGTGCTTCATTCTTTTACTATTTGATTGATATCTGCCTTTTAGTATTTAGCCCACTCTTTTCTTATAAAAAAAATAAAAAAATAAAAAAATAAAAGGATAAAAAGATGTACTAAGAATCACTACACCTGTGCATGAGCATTCTTAAGACTTGCTACACCTTTGCATAGGCATTAACTTAAATTTGACAAAGTTCTGACTTTAGAATGTAACAAACTTTTGACTTCAATAGATAACTATAAGGATCACTACACCATCACATGGGCATCTTTGAGAATTAATACAATCTTGTATAAATATTATCTTAAGTATAGTAAAAGCCTTACTTCAAAATGTGACTATGATCACTGCACCATGTGTAGGCATTATCAAAGTTATAAAATTAAATATTGCTAAGATCGCTAAAGCATTTTTTGGAAAAAAAAAACAAAAAAAAACAACAAAATATAAATAGACAAGGACAGAAAAATAAGTAAATAATATAGGATAGTTTTCCTTTAACCATGACTTGCATTCTATTCTCTTTGTAATTTTCATTACATGATATGTATAACTTATAGCAGAGAGTACTACCTCTAGATTGTTTTTTCATAATAAAAGCTATCCAAGCAAGAATAAATGAATATTAAGATACTGTATATACTGATTATTTGAAAATATCAATTATTTTGTTCTAATCAAATATATATGTATATTTTATGCTGAATTTCTGATATAAAGTGAGTGCACACTATGTCAAATTTCTAGTTGTGAAGCAAGTATGCACTATGTCTAATATGAGTAATCAAAAACTCAGCCAAAATAATTATTAATAAATTAAATATATTCTAATTACATTTTGGTAAGAATGTGTAAATTTATACCAGAAACAGAGTTTGTACAATGTATGATTTATAGACAAGTTAAATATACATATATAATTCTTAGCATATGATTAAGTAATCTGTTATCATGACAACACTTTAAAAGGTAGATACCAGGAACAAATATCTCTGTATAAAAAATCTTGGAATTGATTAGTCTATATGACTTATTGATGATTTAATATTTTTTTAAAAATTATAAATAAGCACATACATTTGTAAAATCGAAGATGCTATAACAAATAATAGTAAAAATAAGTTTTTAAGACACAAAAATTAGTGTCACAATATAAATTTAAAGGCCTCAATGCTAAATATTTGGTAATTTTATTTTTTTCGTTAAATTTTTTATTAGGCAAATAAAATAATAATCACTGATCATTAAAGACTTAATCGAAAGAATTTGTTAATTATTTCTAAATATAGAAGATGTTTAAAGCTTAGCCCCTTTCAGTTTTCTGATTTTTAATTAATATTAAGGGTTAGAGTTATACATAGGCTAGAAGGTTAATAGATATATAGTAAAATCATATTTCTGACACTTTTACTTAGTGCATCAAGATCAGTTTAGATAGCCATTTTTTATATTTTCATGTTTTTGGCTTTGTCAAATTAGTTGAAATAATGCAGGACATATATTAAGAAATTTTATCAGGTGTCAGGCTTTAAACGACTCCTAAATACAGATATGTTTTATAGATTTTTAATGTTTTGCAAGACTCTAGAATTTTGGGTCAGACTCATTAGAACTGCTGAAATTCAAACCAATATTCAGATTTCAAGTGCTATTAACTTCTTTTATAAAGAGTTATTTTCTTATGTCAGGAATAAATTGCAATAAAGAATATGGTTTCTTATAACTGAAATGGTGCCTGTATAGATTTCTTTTGTTTCTAGTTTTATGTGACAATGTTGCTTATTGTATCAGTTATAAAAAAATACATAAAAAAAATAATAAAATTTTCAAAATTAGGCATTGCTATCAAAATAGATATTTCAATAATGTACATGTGGACAATTTGCTGATACTATAATAAAAAAATTTAATAAGATTCTTAATATGTTACAATAGAATTATATAATAAGCAAAATTTTTTAGACTGGCATTGCTAGCCTCATAGCAGCATTATGCAAGCTGACTAGAATTATACTAGCTAGTCAAAATTATTCTAATCAGTGTAAATTTTAAAAATCATTTTAATGTATTATGTACAGTTGAAATTATTGTTTTGTCTGACTTGAGATTCAAATAGAAGATCCTAGTCATAGTTTTGTTGAAATTATTTGAAATATAAAGTATAAGCATTATTTAGTTCTTTATACAAGTAAAAAAATTTACATTATGCCACAGATTGTGAAGTAACTAGCTTACTGTTTAGAGTTATCATGATTGACAAAACTTTTGCCAAAATTAATAAAATTGTCTTTCATTCAATGTACTTTATTATAATGACCTTTAGATATTCTGAAACTTAAAATGATTTTAAAATTACTGTGACTTTTTTGTAAAGCTTTATTAGTTATACAAGATATAATAAATTTTAATTAGTAGCAAATCTCTTCATACAAATTATTAGTTTGTTATGAAAAAAGTTAATTTTACAAAACTTATTAAGAGTTTTACATTAAAATGAATCTGAAGCCAATAATTTTTTATTACTTATAGTTTCTTTTTTTATCTCTTTTCACATC